CACACACACACACACACACACACACACACACACACCATACATACATACATACATACATACATACATACATACATACATACATACATATACACACAGAGAGAGAATTGGGGGGGGAGTGCATAGTTTGTTCTGTGTCACAAGAGGCTATAAACGCTTCTACTTGCAGCCAGCTAGATTATCTTTACGAGAACTACGCCTTGAACCGCCTTCATGGCGTTGTTGTAGTGTTCATATTTGAGAGCGCCACAATACCGCACAGGGCGCAAACAAGAAATTCTGTCTTGATATAAACCGTATTGAAAGCATTGCTGTAGCCAAGATAAATTCCCTAGTCCAGTTCATATGTATCTGATTCCCGGAGCACACGTCAGATCGTTCCGACACCAATTTCCTCGTTTGATAAGCCACGAAATACGGTATCTTTCACTCCTAGAGAAACCACTAGAAGGATGAGTCGAAGCAATGGTAATGGCAGCCACGAGTTCCCGGTTAGATTTATATATGAGGGTCAGTTCAACACTCAGAAGGTGTGCTGGTACAGTACTGGTATACTCGTTTCAATTGATGATGAGAGTTTTCTTGTGACTAGAGATAACTTTCAATGCCGGGAACATCTGCCAGTGCATGGGCAAGAACGATGGCGGGTTTGGACTGTGGATAATTCCAGACAAACTCTGACTTCTGTGGCGCCTACGCTAGATGGTAGAACTGATAGAATTGATTACATAGGCCCAGAATATTCGGTCATCCCATTTAAGCATAAAAAACAATTCAAGTCCATGCAGGTGTGAACAAGCTAATTGTTTGCTGTGGTCAGGCGTTCAAGTTCGGCCAAGCACATATATCAATCTGTTTGCTTAGCAGTATACTTGATACCGCCTTTGTTCTATTCCTTCTGTCATCTTTCATGCTACTCTTCGGATTCTAGACGAGGTTGAATACTTATTCCTACTCCTTTAATTGATCTCATACAGCCAATAATGGGATAGTAACCTATATACAATCATCTTGTCTGGACGGTATCTGAGTTCAAAATGGACATCTCCGCAAAATAGTCAGCATGCACGACCTTCCACTTAGCACAGAGCCAGCTTTCTCATTTCGCCACTTTCAAGGAACGCAATACGATACCGAGATCGAGGAGATATTTGGTTGGGAAGGACGAGCAGAAGGAGACGGAGTTCACGGAAAATACTGCAAGCTTTGTGCCAAATTCATACACATTGAAGTCAATGGATTGAGCCAGATTTCCGGGTTAGTACACTTTCAATTCCTTCGCAAGGAGCTGTTTCATCATGCCAATCGTCGCATAAAACAATCTCACCTCTTCTATGTCTACTCAGACTGACTTCAACAGTATCGCCGCGGCCACATCAGCGATCACTCTTTACTTAGCAAACACCTCCCTCCCTAGCCTTAACTTTTCCAACAACATACGGGTATACAATCTCCCTTACCGTACAAAGAAGCAAGATCTAGGGATCTATTTCTGGATTCCAAGTCCCCGTAGGCCAGTTTCAAGGAAATCTTTGTTTCCTGGGATAATATCAAGTAAGCTCTAACGTTTGCCACGGGCTAACTCGTTCTTTACCTGATTTTTATTGTGATTCCGAGGCATTCAAAGGCAGCCATACATTGTAATTTACTCGAACTCAAAAGTATGCACTATGATGTCCTATTTTGTGGCGTTTGTAGCTGACTTAGTGTGGCACAAAGGCAGCAGGCGGGGAGGGCACGGGCTCTCACGTACAATGCATTCACTTTCAACTGCAGCGCCACTAGCCCCGCCATATATAAACCACCGTTCATTTGCATTTCTCCTACTTTTATACTTCCCTACCACGCAACTCTCAAGGAAACAATCAAACGCAACCCCAGCAACTGTTACGAGCTCGATCAACTAGCCAAAACAATTAGTAACTCTGCAGAGTTTATTTATTCCTGCTCTCTAAGCTCTCGTCAACTTGTCTTCTAATTTATCCCCTCCCGCCTCTCCCTCACTCCTAAGTCAACCCAAGACTGTAAGTGAGCACCCTGCTTAACCTCGGACTATCACTGACCACATGGTAGCTCGCAATATAGAACAACCCACAACAAATTTTCTTAATCACGATTCTCAAATGTCTTCATCCGCAATGAACAGCCCAACGACTACCGTCTACGTTACAGGACTCCCTGACAACGCTGAACCTGCCTTCATTTCACGTAAATTCAAATTCGGTCAAGACGTTAAGGACATTATTAGCGGCGGAGGCACCTCAGCATACATCATATTCCATTCACGAGCCGATGCAGTGGCCTTTATTCGGGACATAAATGGAAAGATCCACTTCTTTGGCGAACGCGGACATGGCCACAAGGTCCATGTATTTTTTTGTGCTTCTGACGAAGCCAAGGGCCATCTACGACTTTCGGACTTCCTCAAGGCTCAAGAGGACGAGCCAAAGATCGTGAGCAAGACAATCCTAATCTCCAACCTCTGCAACAGCCTTGCTGCCCGTGATCATCGTGTGAGGAACGTCAAAGAAATGTTCCTTGATGACCTTGAGAATACCAATCGCAACATGTGTAACGAGCCTGGCTGGGAGGACGAAGAGTTGGTACACATTGAGGTCAAGACACAGAATGATGGCGAAGCCCTTTTACGCTTCAACAAAGTTAGCACGGCCACCCAAGCTGTCTCTGACTGGAACGCAAACTACTGGAAGTCTACAACTATATATGCCAAGTGTGTTCCCGATGAGGAACTCGACGAGATACTTTCTCAGCGAGCGCAGGGCACTGCAGATAGGACGATCAAGCTCTGGATCTACGACCTCAAGCCTGAGGCTGACGAAGATTATGTTTATCGTATCTTCCATCCCTTCAAGGTGAATGACGTCAACATTGTCAACGGCAAGAAGAGCCTCTCCGCACTTGTGTTCATGTCTGAATCAGAGGCTACTTCATTCCTCTTGCGGTACCCAGACGGCAAGCGTGGCCACTTCGAGCGCCGGTACATCAAGGTCAAAATCGATTCAAGACAGACGGGTTTCACCATGCCGACCGCACCCTCGGCCAACGTCAACAATGTTAATGTCACCACATCATCCTTGACGGCCAATAATACTGCTAGTCCACTCTTCGCAAATGACGTGCGAGTCGACAACCTTAATCCTTACGCTACGCGCAACGACGTCAAGGAAGCATTCAAGACCTCCGGCTTCGACGTCTCCAAGGTTGTCCTCAAGGATAAATTCGCATGGGTCGGGGGTTTCAGCTCTCAGGACGAAGCCCAGCGTGCTGTTCGGCTCGTTAATGGAAAGAAGATTCGTGGCTGGGGTGTCCGCCTCTCGATGGCCCAAAAGTAGGAGCGGGCAACTGGAAGGTGAAAACTAAATTAGTGGTATTGCCATGATTAAGCAAGGTTGAGAGTGTAGGGTGATGTTATAACGGGAGAACAGGAACTTCGCTATTCGCGGCTCTATTTGTTAACTCTCTGTACTATTTTGAATGGAATCTTTTGAAACCCACTCTCCTACTATATCATGTGTTATATATAAGTGAATGCGTTCTTGGTCCAATTGAAAAATGGTCCCTGAATCGAGGCTGCTAGGTTAGGTTACAGAGAGACTATGCAGAGAATTAAGTTAGCTAGTATACCACCTCCTTTGCAGCTATTCTCTCCTTCACCGCCATGCAATTCGCGAATAAATTTACAGTGAAACAGTATAACTTATTTAAGCGACGAAACGAGGTCTCGGGAACGTCTTTGCAAATCTCAAGCCACCACAAATCGTTTCAATCAAGGTTCAGCTTGGATTAGATTTAATTCTCGGGAGGATGATTAGGGTCCTTGAAATAGACTTGATAGGGAAAAAGTAGAGACGGCAGAAAGACATTCTAATTTCACTACCTTTAAGTGTACATCACAGATGCGAAATTACCATGTGCAGAATTATGTACACATGTATATATACCAGTTAGTGCTAGGAGGTAGTATTCAAAAAAAGCAGATACTCTCAAGTCTGTGTCAGTCTAGCGGTAAGTACGTCAGCTCGTCGTGCCGAAGACTCGGGTTCGATCCCCGTAGAGAGAGATATCTACTTTTTTTTTTTGGCTTTGTGTAGGATTCAATATAACAGCAAGCGAGCTCGTGTACGTGCGGCTGCTTTTTCAATGGTGCGACCATAGAGGGAGTGGAAGGAGTTTCCAGTGAACATAGTGGGTGGCTCGGGTGAGAAGGCAGACAGAAAGGACTGCAGAGCATATTAGGCTCTCATTTCCTCTAGCGAATCCATTCTTTACTTTATTTCTATTGCGTTGCCCCGAGAGTTTGAATCCGTTTAAATGCGTCCATGTTGTGTAATTTATCCAAATAATTAAATGCAATCAGTGACTAGTAGCCTCACTCTTATCTCCCGTATTATGGTACTGGAACCCCGCCAATGCGTAACCTACCGCGTCCAGTATCTTGTAGTTCCTTCATCACTACTCCACCTAGACTGTATACCTAAACCAAGGAACGCTATCCGCCAGCTCTCTCTCCATGTAAATCTCCTCTTCCGTCAATTCTCTCCCTCCATTTTCCGCCGCCACTTTATCCCGTCTCTTGTTCTCCATCCGACACCAGGTCGACATAAACAGCGTTAGAAAAAAGGCCATACTAACCATCTCATTAGTCATAATAAGGGGGTTCGTAGTATTACAACCATACCTAACGAATCCAATGAGGATACTATGCCCAATAATGAATCTCGGGCTGTCTCGAGTCAAATATACGTAAGACGCGATGATGCCGCCGCAGTTGCCGCCCATGACTTGCATGGCGATTCCCGTGCCGCGCTTGAGGCTGCCGCCGATATTCCCGCTATTCCAAGCCAGGCCGAGCGGGATCTGTGGGTAAATTCCTAGAATCAAAACGTCAGATATTTCCTTTTTTTTTAAACTATCCAAGCCGTTCACAGCTCTAGAGACTGAGAGAAAGATGACGTCCTTACCAATCGCAGCGAAAACCGTCCCCGCATATTGAATCTCGGACCTTCCACTGCCCGCCAGCAATCCGAATCCCAGGATCGCAATCAGCTGGAACCCCAGCAGGAAAACCCCTCGTTTCCGGAATCGATCTGCGAAGTAGCTGGCTGCGATGGTGAAGCCGCACGCGCAGACATAGGGGGGAACGCTCATCAGTTGCGCGTTGTTAGCCGTATATCCCATATTCTTGATGATCGTAGGCAAGAACAGAGCGAAGGAGTAGATGGGGCAGAACCCCGCCATGCAGATCAGCATGTGGATGTATATCTTCCAGTCCGTGATAGCCTGCCAAATGTACTTGGTGTTGAAGTCGTTGGAGAGATGGCCCGAGTCGGCGTGAAGGCGTCGTTGGACTTCGGTCCGTTCTTTGGCAGTCAAGAAGGTTGCCCTGTAGTGTATTCAGCAGATGTCAGGCATACTTTTGACTCTCGGCTCGGGAGTCTCACGTGGCTGGGTAGTCACAAATGGCCCAGTACGCCGCAAACGAAACCACGACACTCATCAAGCCTTCCAAGATAAATATCCACGCCCAAGCCGCAATCCCCGCAATCCCGTTCATCTCCGCAATGCCCCTGGCAAATATTCCACCAAATGCGCCGGCCAGCGTGGCCGCTGAAAAGAACAGCGCCATTCTAAAGCCACACTCATCCCTACGATACCACTGCGTGATGTAGTAGTTGACGCCAGGAAACAGGCCTCCCTCAAACACACCCAGGAACACCCGTGTCGCGAGCAGGCCGGAGTAATTCTTCACGAAGCCCTGCCCAATCATGGCGACCGACCAGAAGAACATGATGAATGTCAGCCATATAGAGGGCCGTACCCGCTTCATCATAATGTTAGAAGGAATCTCGGCGGCGATATAGAATGGGAAGAGGATTGCGAGACAGTCGTTGTATTGCAAGCCATGCAGGTTGAGGTCCCTCTCAAGATGGTCGAGGCGCGCATTGCCGATATTAGTGCGATCGAGGAAACATAGTCTGAATTTAGTAAACACGAGTTAGCCAATATGGACTCTGTATAGAGAAAATCAAGAGCACGTACAGGTAGATTAGAGACATGAAGGGGATGATATGCCAGTCCAGCTTTCGGAGCAGGGTCTTGGTGGATGTGGCGGAAAAGCCCTGGGTCTCGAGGTCTCCCGCTGCGACGTCGACCGCAGTCTCATTCGCAACATTCTTTTCCGCCATTGTGGCCGATATGCGAATTAGACGTTGAAGGAAGTGGAAGCGCCAAAATAAGCAAAAGTGCGGGGAGGGAAATACTAGAAGTACATATACTTATTTCTTCTTCCCTTCGAGCCAATCCATCCCTTGTGTCAAACCTACCTTTTACCAAATGTGGAATTGAACCAATGGAATGGATTCAAGCCGACCTATCGTGCAACCAGATTAGCTTCTTTGGGCAACTTTTTTCATCGATATCAAATACGTGCGACTCCGCTAAAGCTCAATGGACGCTACAGAGCAGAAGATATGCATCGGTGCGTTGTCAGCTTACATCCAAGACACTTTTTCAAGGGTAGCACTTTTTGCTTGGCCAAGGTGCTAATGCTTGTGAGTGACAAGGGACTTTAAAAAACGCTTGAGTGTGATAAGAATTTAAGGCTTATCTTGTGTCACCTAACTAATCTATCCAAACCTTATTCCACGTGCATCGAGCCTTCGCGACGCCCTTTACTTTCTATAAAGACTAGATTTCTCCAATATTTACAAGCGAAACATTTTCTTCTGCTTACACTAGCAGATGTGACCGCTACTGCAGTCACCGCTGCAGTGATACTGCCCAAGCCAGTTCTCGTCTCCGTATGGGTTCAGTCCGAGGAACCATCCATTCAAAATCTGTTGGAGATAGTCTAGATTTTGCGGCATACCATGCGCCTTGCCATCTTCTGAACATGGGTAATCCCGTGTCAGACCGCGTCCGCCGTTCAACCCAGTCTGATCGCCCTTGGTGAAGAAGCCATTGTAGTTACCGATGACCTTGATTGCATTTCTGTTGTTGTCGTCGAGTTGGCGTCTGAGGAATGCCGCGCCCGCGTCGACGCTCTTCTCGACGTCGTTGGTGCATTGCCCATCAGGGTAGTTGGAGCAGGCAACTTGCATCAGGCCCGGCGTTGGGCCTCCGGCATCGGGGTTGCAGCTTGATTCCTGCATAGCGATGATGGCGAGAAACACGGGGTCGATTCCATGTTTGTCGCCAGCCTGTTGGAAAGCCCAATCATATTGCTTGCAAGTAGCGCCTGCGTTGGCATAGAATGTCTTGCGATCGATTTTGATCAGGGAGTCCCAGGACAGGAAGGGTGCTTCCCAACCGTCACCCTCCATACCAGAGTTCAACCAGTCTTCAGATCTAGAGGTATTCGTTGTTAGCTTCGCCGCTCAGCAAACTCGATTTCAGGAAACGTACCCATTGGGACCAGCACCGGGGGTTACATCTGATGTTGCACCTTGAGCCTCTGGGTTTGTACCGAGGCCCAGGTCACCCGTCTGTGCCAGCGCTGTTGCGGCACAGGCTGTTAAAAGCAGTATAGTCTTTTGAAAAGACATTCTCGATGATGAATGAGTGTGTTGATATTGAATGCGAAGGGTAATCGGCGGGAAAGACTGTACGTGGTGTGAGAGATGAAACTTTTCACGATGTTCAAGTCTTTACTTTATATCCCTCCTACCTTGATCAGCAACCGTAACACACATATCCGTAGCGGCTTATCAATCGCCTCTTGCGGTGTTTGGGCTTCTGTGGAACCATAGAGTGCGCATGCGAGATGACGACCATGTCATACCGAAGTTCAGCTTGACAGATGAACTTCGTGAAGTTAAATGAAATCGGAGTACTTTGAAACGGCCATCAGCACCCTCACTTTTCCATTGGACGAAAACCAACGGCGTTCGGACAGTGGTGCAGTGAATAAGCTGAGGGCTGAAGCTGATTGGCTAGTAGCATTGTTCTTTCGGATCGTTGTCATGTGACTGGGTAATTCTCCGAAGACCGATCCTTCATTTCAAGCATATAGTTTAAGAATAGACAGTAATTAGTTACGGCCAAGTCTGTCAGCCGAAGGCGTGAGATGTGTCTGTTCTTTCTATTACATGATGAACTAATTTTGTTTGTAATACAATCACTGGTCTGCTGAGATTTGCAATTGAACAGTTGTGGGGATGACGACGGCAAAATCGTTCGTGTGATCCATCACCATTTCTCCAAAAGAATCATTTTTGTTTGATTGCAAACATAACAGATCCTTAGTGACGTCAGATTTACAAAGACTTGTATAGCCTCTGACAAAAATTACTAATAGTATGACTATTATGCAGCCTTGTTGGCATCGCTGGTGTGTGTCCCTCACGATGAGGGCCGAGAACAAGTAGAAAACTCATTCATTGCATTCCAGTCTTCCATTTCTTGCGCACAAATCCGGGCTTGAGGGGTATGGAAATGTTAATTCCAGGGCCACTTGTTAAGATACCAAGAGTACGACAAGACCAACAACGTCCAGGCATACCCGGCACGAGCATACAAGACGAGAAATGCTTACTGTAGGTCGCCCGTGTGGACGGGGCGGCACGCATTGTTGGCCACTACTCTCGAACCCCAACGACAGAGATCCTCAATCACACCCGGCTCGAACAATTCTGACAATCCTCGTTCATCGAAATGCATCTTTAAGATATACTTCTCGCCGGGGTAAAGCGACCAGTCCTTGCATTTTATTAAACCTTCCTTACATCAAACTCCTACCCCATGAACCGCAGCCATTTAGTTTCACATCGCAAGGTTGCAACAGCGGTTTTCTTCCTCGGAATCAGCACGCGATTCACTAATTGACGGCATACCGTTCTAATGCTTTCTCAATATCCGTCCAGCTCATCGTCGAGAGCTCGGAAAGGACTGATCGCACTAATTCCGCCTCCGTCCCGAGTTCCCCTCTGTTAAGTGTCCAAACTCCATTCCAGTCCGACCCCATGCATGAGCTGTCTCCGGTGCATGTGGTCTGTAGTATTTAGGAATATGGTAGAAGCCATGCCTGTTGCCTGTCTCTCAAGCCATCATGACAAGAGAGCC